GACATGGTATTACCATGTCTCAAATCCTCTCGTTTGCCCAATGGAGCACTGATCCTAGTGCGAATCAAGAGCGACAGCCAGGTCTAGCCTTGCCTCGCTGTCGCTCTTGATTTGCAGTAGCTATCACCCGACCTCAGCTGCAGCTGGCAAGGTGGCGCTGCAGCACGTCACAGCGAGGGCGACCTGTGTCAGGCATGTCATGTGCGATCGCCAATCGAGGCCTGCTGTATGTGTCATAGGGTAGGCCTCGGTTGGCGATCGCATGGAGCTGACTTTGGGGGTTAGGGTTTATAGGATTGGGGAAGACTGGAATGCAGAGTTTGTTTCTGTCTGCTCCGTGTTGCGGTCTCTGTCTGCTGCTGAGCAGTAATTGCAAGGGCGACAATTGTGGTTGGAGTTTTGGGAGCGCAGGCCTGCACTCCCCTTACACAACATCTCAAGAAGAGCAAGAAGCGTGACGAGCTCTGTGTTGTGGTCTCTGTCTGCTGCTGAGCGGTAATTGCAAGGGTGACAATTGTGGTTGGAGTTTTCGGGAGTGGAGGTGTGGAGCTTTAGAGCCCCAGCCCAAAAGGCGACCATTCTGTGTTGGAGTTTGGGGAGCGGGGAGCGACAGAGTGGTGATCTTTCGCCGCCGAAAGATCACCACGCCGTCGCTCCCCTAAACCCTAATCCCGAAGCTGAGCGGATAGTATAACCGCAATGTTCAAGGGTTACGACGTTCGTAGCTGCCTTGACCATTGCGGTTAACTCTATTGTCTGTCAAAGGGATATTACCTGGTCATGGGCTTGTTGGTGCTTCAAGCTGGCTGCTACGGACTCTGTTGGAGCTCCTTCTGTACCGGGGAGATTGTGTCGAAGAGGTTGCAATGAAACCTGTGGCCCGTGGCCGGCTTTTGCTAGAAACGACAGTGGAGCAGGTCTGCCGGGGAGACGCAGCCAGCTCGAGCGAGGTCATTTGAAGAGCCGCTTACGGATGTTCTTGGCAACGGGTAAAGGTACATTCTTCTGATCTTCCTGGGCCTGGTTCTCGTGCTTGTCGGTTACCGATACGCACGAGAAGCAGGTCCAGAAAGATCAGAAGAATTACCTTTACCTGTTAAGATCAGCGCAAACCATGGAAGGAAAAATGAGAGAGGTGTGCGGCTGCGGCGGTGCCCCGCAAACCGGGTCGCCATCCGCCAATGCCCCGGAGCCGGGCCCCCTTACGGGACGGGGCCGCTCCCGGGTACGGGCGGGTGGCCACCCGGTTGGCCGGGCCGCGCCGAAGCCGCACACCTCTCTCTCTGTTTCACCCAGTTTCACCCGGTGAAGCTGGGTGAAACAGTCTCTCCCATGGTTTGCGCTGATCTTAACGCAGGCTGGCGCAACGGACGGGAGATGGGTCGTCCTTCTCAATTTGGTGCCATGCAGTGATCGAAGAGCTCTTTGCTTCGTCGTATTGGAATTAGTTGCAGTGGTCATGGGCTTGTTGGCGCTTCCAGCTGGCTGACCCCGTCATCATGTTTACAAGACGTGTTGGACATGCTTCCATGCTTTGGAGTTTCCTCATGTGTGATCGATCACAAGAGATTTGGTGCCGTTGACGCTGTCCACGCGTGAGTTTACTAGTTTGGAGCAAGCGCTTCAAATGAAGTGGGAATGCGAGGACACAAAAGTCGCGTGTAGTATGTTGAAAAGCTTCCGATGTGCTTGTGGCAGTCCTATGCGGTGCTCATGTCCATGTCTATTAGTTCAATCCCTCAGCTTGTTGACTTTCAAGTCTGAAATCAGCGTTATGGGAACTCAACTTGTCAGACAGCAACCTTTTCTTTCTCGTCACCTTAGTCTGAAATCAGCAGTCTGAAATCAGCCGTCTGAAATCAGCTTCGTCTGAAATCAGCAGTCTGAAATCAGCAGTCTGAAATCAGCATAGCCATGATGCCGGACTCAGAATTAAGTGTATAGTCCTTCCCCAGAATAAGTGTTCAATCCGCCACCAGAACCCTATAAAGAGTTACTGTTAGAGGAAACCCCTAAGCCATGCAGGAACCGACGTCTACAGCAGTCGGCGACATCTTTGACAAAGCCAAACGGGCCAAGAAGAGCAGCTGATGATGTCTGAGGCCCTACCCTACTTTGTTACACTTAAGCTTTCCAGGATCCAGCGGTCGGCCTTAAGGCAGCAGTAGGCCCACACCCCCTTAAGCTAAGCTCCAGTGGCCCTAGACGTAATCCGGCTATAACCGGTTATACTAGCTTCGGCCTCGGTTGGCAGCAATCGCCGCAGTTAAGGCAGCAGTAGGCCCGGACTCAGCCTTAAGCTCTCCAGGATCCAGGACTCAGCCTCAAGGCAGCAGTAGGCCCAGAACTTAAGTTAGCTCTCCAGGATCCAGCGGTCGGCCTTAAGGCAGCAGTAGGCCCACACCCCCTTAAGCTAAGCTCCAGTGGCCCTAGACGTAATCCGGCTATAACCGGTTATAATAGCTTCGGCCTCGGTTGGCAGCAATCGCCGCAGTTAAGGCAACAGTAGGCCCGGACTCAGCCTTAAGCTCTCCAGGATCCAGGACTCAGCCTTAAGGCAGCAGTAGGCCCAGAACTTAGCCTTAAACTCCATGCTCCAGGTTTTCCTGGCCCAGCCAAAATTCTGTTACACAGTGCATGCAGCGACACAGGTTGGGTCTTCGTCCTGTGCCTCGAGCCTGGTTTTGGCCGCAGGTTCTGATGTGAGGCCGGACTGTCTCGCTGAAAATCGGGCAGCATTTCCTTCCCCCAAACATGCCGGTAGAAAGGGTAAAAAAAGAGGAAAAAACGCAAACCTCAAAGGTAGAAAAAGGTAGAAAAAGGTAGAAAAAGGTAGAAAAGGGTAGAAAAAGGTAGAAAAAGGTAGAAAAAGGTAGAAAAAGGTAGAAAAAGGTAGAAAAAGGTAGAAAAAGGTAGAACTAGGTAGAAAAAGGTAGAAAAAGGTAGAAAAGGGTAGAAAAGGGTAGAAACAGAAAGAAATGGGGCATACCGTGTGTGTGTACAAATGAAAAAAAATGGTGTTGGGAACCAGGCATGTCTTGACAGACAGGCAAAAATCGGAAGATTTTGGAATAAAATTGAAGAATTCCGAAGAATCTAGAAGAATTTAGAATAATTTAAAAACGTGCAGCAGTCTTACGTAGAACAGGGAAGACTACAAGGCTTGCTCCAGACACTCGCACCAAAAGCATTTGCATGAATTTTGCATAAAAAACAAAAAAAATTCCTCGCTTCGCGAACATCCATATTTGTTTTCAACTCTAGTACTCCACACACACTACAAGGCTTGCTCCAGACACTCGCACCAAAAGCATTTGCATGAATTTTGCATAAAAAAAACAAAAAAATTTTCTCGCTTCGCGAACATCCATATTTGTTTTCAACTCTAGTACTCCACACATACTACAAGGCTTGCTCCAGACACTCGCACCAAAAGCATTTGCATGAATTTTGCATAAAAAAAACAAAAAAATTTCCTCGCTTCGCGAACATCCATATTTGTTTTCAACTCTAGTACTCCACACACACTACAAGGCTGGCTCCAGACACTCGCACCAAATGCATTTGCATGAATTTTGCATAAAAAAACAAAAAAATTTTCTCGCTTCGCGAACATCCATATTTGTTTTCAACTCTAGTACTCCACACACACTACAAGGCTTGCTCCAGACACTCGCACCAAAAGCATTTGCATGAATTTTGCATAAAAAAACAAAAAATTTCCTCGCTTCGCGAACATCCATATTTGTTTTCAACTCTAGTACTCCACACACGCTACAAGGCTTGCTCCAGACACTCGCACCAAAAGCATTTGCATGAATTTTGCATAAAAAACAAAAAAATTTCCTCGCTTCGCGAACATCCATATTTGTTTTTAACTCTAGTACTCCACACACACTACAAGGCTTGCTCCAGACACTCGCACCAAAAGCATTTGCATGAATTTTGCATAAAAAACAAAAAAAACCCTCGCTTCGCGAACCTCCATAATTTTTTTCAACTCTAGTACTCCACACACACTACAAGGCTGGCTCCAGACACTCGCACCAAATGCATTTGCATGAATTTTGCATAAAAAAACAAAAAAATTTCCTCGCTTCGCGAACATCCATATTTGTTTTCGCATCACTTCACGCGTGCGTGTCGATGTTTTATAGATCCTAGGTCAAACGAAATTTTGTAAGCAACAAAATTTTGGGCCATGACAATCTTTGCGCTACTCTTAGTAGTGCTTTACAATCCAGACTTTTAACAACTTTCAATCGCTGTTGCATGATTTCGTTTCTCCTGTCGAGCAACGATTTTTAAACCATGCGGTTAAACGGACACTTGGTCATGATTGAATCTGCAACCATCGAAGCTGTCTCGAGATCGAGCCAGAAAATTTTGATGGCTCTCTAGAGGCTTGTAATTCCGTCTAACAGGCCTGAGCCCTCCGTAACTCGGTGTTGCTCTTAGAGCGCCGTGCAAGAGCCCCGCCGGGGGCTCGGATGGATCCGAGCTCGACCCTTGCGGCCGAGTCGTCTTCCAGCGACACTCAAGAGGCCATTTCGGCCCACCTGCACGCAGTTCAGCTTCAAGTTAATTCCCTTGAACAGCAGCTTGCCTTGCTGCGATCAGAACTGCAGGAAGTTCGCCAACAGCTTGTGAACCTTGAGGCCGAAAGATACCAGCACTCCCTTCGCTTGGGGTGGCTGGAGCAACTTGTGCAGCGCGTTTCACGCGCTTTCCGCTTTGAGTGATTGTGCCTGCACTGGGGTACTTCGGGGCTGTAGTAGAATGGGGGATGATGAGAACAGCTCCCTCCCTTCGAGTTACGGGCTTCACCTGAGGTCGTGCCTGCGAGACTCGAGGTCTATTTGGAAGACCCCTTGGAACAATGCACTCGTTGCTTTTGACCCTAAGCCCCGCTTGCCGCCTCCTCTTGGACCTCTTCCACTCGTAGTCCCAGCGAACCCTTCTGCTGATCAGCCGGCCGTGCCGATCCCTCGCTTCATCAGGTCGGAAGGGCTTGAACAGGTGTGTGCGAAGATGGCCAAATTCAAACACACTTCATGGGAAGTTATGATCAACGAGGAAAGAAATCTTGCCGTGAATAAGTGGCTCAGCCTGGTCATGGTCGAGCCCTTGACCTTCGGTGTAGCTAGGAACTTCTACGCCGGCAAGGCGTCGGGGATCTCTTCAGGATCACTTGCAGACAGCATTTCGGATTGCCTTGCTGCCAAGGCCACTTCGACGATCAATGCCAGGGCGAATTGCTTGTTGCGGTTTGTTTCTTGGGCAAAGGGGAACATGCCGTTTGTTTTTCCCTTGACCGAGCATGCTGTCTACGCATACTTCGAGGAGAAGAAGTCCACAGCAGCGGCAACTTCGTTCAGGAGCCTTCTTTCTTCCGTTGCTTTCGCTCAGCATGTGGTAGGCCTGGAAGGGTGTGACAAGGTTTACACTTCGGGTCGCGTCCGCGGCCTTGCGTCGAAGCTTTACATGCAGAAGAGGAAGCTCAAGCAACGGAATCCTCTGAGGGTCTCCGATGTCATTCTTCTTGAAAGGATTTGTTGCAAGCTTGAAGACAGGTCTTTGCAGGACCGTATCGCTGCAGGTTTCTTTCTCTTCTTGATTTATGCAAGAGCTAGATACAGTGACGGGCAAAATGTAGCATCGCTGACTGATTCGCCGCTCTACTTGGAGTGCAGTGTGGGCAGGTCCAAGACGAGTTTCACTTTGGAACGCAAGACCAGGTACTTGCCAATGGCTGCCAGGAAGGTGGGCATCAAGTGTGCATGGGCCGATGCGTGGCTTGAGGCTTTGGCAGAGGCGGGTCTTGCGATCAAGCCGAACGACCCGTTGCTCCCCTGCCCTTCTTCGAATGGTTCGTGGAAGATGATCCCGCTTCCGTGCGATCAGGCTTGCTCGTGGCTCAGGAGCCTGCTGGGGAACGCTCAGAGCGATCCCTACCTTGCAAATGTAGGAACACATAGCCTTAAGAGAACTTTGCTGAGCTGGGCAAGCAAGCGTGGTCTGCCCAGAGAACAGAGGGCCCTCTTGGGGTATCATACGTCCCGAGCCTCGGGCGCGGGATCAGAGCTCATCTATGAGTCCGACGCCCAGTCGGCTCCGCTCAGGGCTTTGTCATCTATGATCGACGAGGTGTCGTCCGGGGCCTTCAAGCCCGACAAACCAAGGGGGCAGCAGCTTGCTTCCGAGCTGTCGGCGAATGCCGATCCCGCGGGCGATGAGATCGAGTCGTCAGACTCTGAGGGCTCCGAAGACGAGGAGGAGATCGACCACTCAGGGGACGAAGCTTGTGTTGCCGAGGCTTTGGACTGGCATGGGAAGGTCGATCTTGACAAGATTGATCCCTCGTGTGTTTTCTTTCGGCATCGCCAATCCAGGGTAGTGCACATCACTGCCGACGAAGCCGGTGCCAACCTAGGCTGCGGTAGGACCATTTCGGGTCAGTACAGGAAGCTGGAGGCGCGACCCGCAGTTTTGCATCCAAGGTGCAAGCAGTGCTTCAGGAGATACTTGATTGTGCAGCAGGGCACATGACTCTGCATCCGGCTCGTGTCTGCAATTTTGTGCAAAAATGGTGATGTCGTGCACGTGCGCTCCGCAAGCCGGTCAAGTGCTGTCATTAGTGGTATCGTGCAAGAGCAGAGATCTGGCGGATGTCGTGTCCTGCAAGATGAGTGATTTGATGAAGAGCAAAGCCCTCCTGCAGCTGCTTTCAGCTCGTAGTGGTCCAAGCAGCACACCATGGCGGCCTTCTCCGAGTCGGGGCCAGTGTTCAAATCACGATGTGCCCAAGTCGGTTTGGCATCTGCGGATGTCGAAAAACTCGAGAAGGTGGGTGTGGATTCACTCGCAAAGGTCGCTTTCATGACGAGCTACACGCCGGGCTCTGGCGATGACAAGGACCTCATTGCAGCGTTCGAGTCGGCCCTCGGGACGCCGCCCTCTGTAGGGCAGAAGAGCTCCTTCCGAAGGTGATTTCATGAAGCATATGCTGTTACCACTTCGGAAATGAAGATGCTTGTGGAGCGGACGGATGAATCCATCCCAAGAAAATTGAGCGTCCCGGAGAGATCTGAGAGGTTCGAGGTAGTGAGCAAACGCCTTGTGGGCCTTTCGATCAAGAACCGTCTTGAGCCTGCTGATAGCCTCGTCGACTCCTTCGTGTCCCAGTATGAACAGGACAAGCTGCAGTTTGTTCCGTGGGAGAAGCTTGTTTCCAAAGAACAAGAGGCCTCAACAGGGGCAAAGCGAGAGCCTTTCTTCTCGCTGGACAGTACGGGCAAGCTCAGGTCGGAGACGAAGGTTGAGGTCCGTGCCGATACTAGCACGGAGCTGCTCTTGCAGCTCGCGCTTCAAAGGCGCGGCATCGCTATGGAAATGGCGAACATCCTTGACTACCATCGTCACCACATGTGGGTTGAGCGCCTTCTTGCGGCGCGCCTCGACGCACCTCCGTCGACGCACATGCAGCCCACACTTGATCAGTGTCAGCAAGCTGACAGGAAGCTTTGGCAGCTTCTCGGAGAAGCGACTCGCTCAGGCATCCAGCTCAAAGCTGGGGGGCGTCCATTGGACGCCATCTTCGAGGACACATGGCAGTCACCAGAGGTGCTTCATCTGCTTCAGCCGATGCCTCGGGCAGCAGGCGCTTCAGTCACGCAGCAGGTGGCACCGCCGCCGAGGCCGCACGGGCCGGGCCCGTATGATCGTCCGGGCAAAGGCCGAAAGGGCACAGGGAAAGGTGCCAAGGGCACCAAAGGCAGCGGGAAAGTTCCTGCCGCTCTTGCGGGCTGCAGATCTTGCACCAATGCAGGTGAAAACATATGTTTTGGGTATGGACTCAAAACGTGCAGGGAAACTGTGACTCGTGGTCGCTGCGTGCGCGGATTGCACATCTGCGCATGGCCCAAGTGCGGCAAATCGCATCCTGCGCTGGACTGTCCGATGCGTGCTGAGGCTCTTAGCCAAAAGCAAGAGTGACAGTCGAAGAGCGAGCCCGGCAGCTCGCAGTTCTCGACTCAGAGTCGAGACAGCCCAGGCTTGGCTGGGCAAAGTTTTGCACCGCCGCAGGCTCCGCCTGCGCCGAACAGTTCTCCTTTAGCAGTTCTTGATCCGTGTCAGCAGAGTGCTAGTATGGATTCAAGCAAGTTTTCTTCACTTTTGCAATTGCTTCGGAGCGCCAATTGGCCTGACTCTGTCTTGCAACGCAAGTCTGTTTCTTCAGCGGACCCCAAGCAGTCGGGGTACTACAACTTCGGGCCCAGAGCCAGCTGTCCCCATCTCCTTACAAACGCCACGCTGCAGATGCGAGAGTTTGTCCAGCAGCTGAACTCAGCCGTCAAAGCACTTGTGCCTCAGGCGTCCTGGAATGCAATCTGTGTGGGCCAGAATACGCTGTCGGATTTTCACAGGGATTCCGGCAACCAACGGGGTTCTTTGAACCATACCTTCTCGCTGGGCACCTTTCAAGGCGGCCTGAAGATGCGGCAGGCACTTCCGAGGCCACGAGTCCCGCAGGCGAGCAGATCCGGGGCAGGGTTGTGAACACTTTTTGCAACCCCACTAGTTTTTCTTGCGACTTGTGGCATAAGACGATGCCTTACACAGGCGAGCGATGGGTCGTGACACTTTATACTCTGTCAGGTGGGCAACCTTCCGAGTTGCTCCCGTTGGGCTTTCCGTGTGGATCCGCCGCTGTGACTTCGCAGTCCTCTGGCGCGCAATCTCCGCCCGAGCCTGCCACTTCTGGGTCTAGCCCTTCGGTCCCCGCCCCTTTGGGTTCTAGTCTTCCCCCGCCCGCCGACCCGCCTTGTAAACGCTTGAAATCCCAGGATGCAAAGGTGTCGCCTTCGCAGCATGAAAAGCCTTTGTTCTTAGAGATTTGTAGCGGGTCGGCTATGCTGTCTTATGTCGCCAAGGAGGCAGGCTACACTGTTGTGCCAATCGATTGGCACCACAACAAACAAAGATCCTGTGTGCACACTCTGCAGCTTGATCTCCGCCTCGCCAGCACGTGGTCATTCCTGCGGCGCATTTGCTCCGAATACCATGTCGCTTGGATCCACATGGCCCCTCCATGCGGTACTGCCAGCAGGGCTCGCGAATGTGGGCCCGGTCCTAAACCGCTTCGGTCGCATCATCATGTGCGTGGGCTCCCTGGCCTTTCACAGGTAGATCAAGCTCGTGTTGAGAGTGCCAACTCCATCTACGACAACATGGAGTCCTTCTGCGACTGGCTGCTTCGATTCATGCCTCATATCCCGTTCTCCGTTGAGAACCCGTTGCACAGCTACCTTTGGCAATTCCCGAAGTGGGCCGCAATGGTCCAACGGCACTCCTTTGTCACATTTGACTCGTGCCGGCACGGCTCGCAACGCAAGAAGGCCACGGCCCTTCTCACTAATTCTGACTTCCTGCACTGCCTCTCGGGACCCTGTCCCGGCTGCTCCTCGCATCTCCCATGGGGTAAGCAAGGTCGCACCTTTGCAACCGCTGCAGAAACAGGGTATCCTAAGCTTCTTTGTGAACGGATAATCTCATGTGTGGACAAGTCGGCCACCTTGCGGGGCATTGCGCCGGACCGACTGACTGTTTCAAAGGTCTCTGCTGCACGCGCCGCTGGTCAGGTGCAGCCAAGAGGGCGCAAGTTCCCACCGATCATTTCTGAATTTGCTTATACCGTTTCTGTTGGCAGCGCGGCAGCCCCCACTCTCAATTCCAAACAATGCTTGTCATCTGCATGGCACGGCGTCCCTGCAGGTTCAAAGCTCCTCCGGGAGTCAGTGGAGAGGGGAGGTTCGCGACTCCCTGAGGGCAACAAGTTCTACGTGTTCGGAGTGTATCGATCCATGCAGGCTTTCTTGAACGAAGCAAAGCTAGTCGTGCACCCGTTTGATTCCGCCAGGTCGCTCCCAGATGAACTTCTGCGAGTCTTGTTCGACACACTCACTAAGGGTCCGGTCGACACGATGAGACATCGCCTTCTTAAGCTGCAGCACTGGCGTGCCCTTGCCAAACAGCTTGAGCCCGAAGAAGAGAAAATCAGGTCAGCCATGGATCCGTGTGTGAGGAGGGTCCTCGGCAACAAGCGTATAGCGCTCATGAAGAGCGTTGCCGCAGAATTGTCGTGGCCTGACACCACTCTCTTCGATGACCTTGCAGCCGGTTTTAAATTAACAGGGTACTTAGGTCGCACGGGGGTCTTTGCTAGTGACGTTAAGCCTGCCACGATGGACCTTGATGAATTTTGGTCGAGCGCCCCGCTTCGCAGGGAAACTCTTCTTGAAAAGGTCAAGGGCCAAAAGGACCATGACTATGCCGAGGAGCTCTGGAACATGACGCTTGAAGAGTCCGATAAGTCTGGGAAGAGCTGGCTTGACGGCCCGTTCGATGTCGACTCTCTGGGGAGCATGTTCCCCGACGGTTGGAACGCCTGCCGGCGTTTTGCAGTATGGCAGGGCAAATGGCGTGCCATCGATGACTTCTCGGAAGCTGCGGTGAATGCGTGCTTCGGGTGCTTTGAACGCGTCACTCTCAAAGCCCTTGATGAAATCTGTTGGCTGTGCATGCAAGTTTTCCGCGCCGCAAAGAAGTCGGGCTTTCTTGATCTGGAACTCAGTTCGGGTGAGAGACTCAGGGGGCCTATCCATACTGCGTGGAAGGACCTCGACCGTGTTCGTCCTCACTGCAAGACATACGACCTTCATGCTGCGTACAAGCAGCTCGCATTGCACCCTGGGGAAAGGTCGAAATCCATTATCCTGCTCCGGGAGCCCGGCTCCCGCGCTGTCAAGGCCTTTGTGTGCAATACTCTGCCCTTCGGGGCTTCGGCCTCGGTTATGCAGTTCAACAGGGTGGCGTTATTCTTGCAAAGGGTTCTTTGGGATCTGAGGGTAGCTGTGACGTGCTACTACGACGACTTCCCGACGATGACTCCCTCTTTCTTGTCGGGCGGAACGGACAATGCTGTTCATGCCCTCATGGACTTGTTCGGCTTCTCCTTGTCCGAGAAGGAGAAGCCGTTCTCGTGCACTGCAGAAACTTTGGGTGTTGTGCTAGACACGTCTGATCCTGACATGGGGCACATCTTCGTATCGAACAAGCCTGAGCGGGCTGCCATGCTCGAGGGGTCAGTAGGCCGCATCCTTGAACAAGGCCAAGTGGACACGAGGGAACTGCCTTCCCTCCTTGGTAAACTTCGCTTTGCGGATGCTCAGCTGCTCGGTCGCACGGGGCGCCTGGCCCTTGCTGACCTTAGGCTCTTAGGTGATAAAGGGGGTGTCTTCCAGCTGACTGATTCACAATCGAATGCCTTGGCCGTTCTGAGGGCGAGACTTCTTGCGAGCAGACCCCGCGCCATTGCTGCGAGCCCGCCTTCGAATCCAGTCCTCATCTTCACAGATGGCGCATGCGACCCGTGTGAGGGCGGCTTCACCACAGGCGTTGGAGGTGTCATCTTCATTCCCAGCAAAGGGGTGGCCAGGGCTTTCGGCTGCAGGGTTCCGAGCAAGCTTGTCAAGCAATGGGCCGAGGGCAGGAAACACATCATAGGGCAAGTTGAGCTTTACGCGGTCGTGCTCGCCAGGATCTTATGGTCGAGTTACATCGATGGCGAAAGGTGCTTATTCTTCGTTGACCATTCCGGTGTGTTGAGTGCTTGTATCAACTCGAACTCGATCGATGCATCTTGGAGGAGCCTTCTCCTCCATCTGGAGGCTGCCGACGAAGCACGCCCGTGCTTGCCCTGGTTTCATCGCGTCCCGAGCCAGAGTAACATCGCAGACCCACCGTCGCGTGGCAGATGGGACGAATTGTCGTTCCTCGGGCCTTTCACTCGTGATACGCCGGCATGCTTTGTCACTGGTGAGGCGCTTGAAGCAACGTAACGCATAGTCGAGAGGGGGAGATTGATGGTCACGTTGCACTCGAAAGTGCGATTGGATCTGTTGGCACGCCCGGTGCCTCGACTTAGGTGGAGGGGCACTCTTAGTGCCCGGTGCACACGTTGTGCACTTGTGTTTTCCGCGAAAACTCCCCATGACTCTCGGCTGTGCCGTGAAAACAAGTGTGAGCGTTCTGCATCAATTTCTTATCACCTGTATTTATTCGAATCGGACCAACATATGTGGTCTACAATTCTTTATATGTTTTGAAGTGGAGATATTTGATCGAAGTATTTATACTTGATCCAAATATGTGATTGTCATGGATGACCGGATCTATAAGCATCACTTCACGCGTGCGTGTCGATGTTTTATAGATCCTAGGTCAAACGAAATTTTGTAAGCAACAAAATTTTGGGCCATGACAATCTTTGCGCTACTCTTAGTAGTGCTTTACAATCCAGACTTTTAACAACTTTCAATCGCTGTTGCATGATTTCGTTTCTCCTGTCGAGCAACGATTTTTAAACCATGCGGTTAAACGGACACTTGGTCATGATTGAATCTGCAACCATCGAAGCTGTCTCGAGATCGAGCCAGAAAATTTTGATCCCACCCAACCCGCCCTGGGGGGAGATTGATGGTCACGTTGCACTCGAAAGTGCGATTGGATCTGTTGGCACGCCCGGTGCCTCGACTTAGGTGGAGGGGCACTCTTAGTGCCCGGTGCACACGCTGTGCACTTGTGTTTTCCGCGAAACCTCCCCATGACTCTCGGCTGTGCCGTGAAAACAAGTGTGAGCGTTCTGCATCAATTTCTTATCACCTGTATATATTCGAATCGGACCAACATATGTGGTCTACAATTCTTTATATGTTTTGAAGTGGAGATATTTGATCGAAGTATTTATACTTGATCCAAATATGTGATTGTCATGGATGACCGGATCTATAAAACTCTAGTACTCCACACACACTACAAGGCTGGCTCCAGACACTCGCACCAAAAGCATTTGCATGAATTTTGCATAAAAAATACTCACCGATTCATGTCGAATGATTGTATACTCCGTAGCCATTTTGGCTCAAGCTGTTACAGCTTGAGCGAAATTTTGTTTCAGTCCCCTCGGATCACTCCTCGGTCATAGCCGCCCGGGCGGCCAGTACCCCGAGCACTACTACGACCGCTGCTGGCGGCCAGTACCTCGAGCACTACGGCTTCTCTGTCAGTTGTTGACAGTCTGAAGGAATCGCTCGAGGAATTCAGCCGCGAGCAAGTTCTCGAGGATTTTCAAGTCGAGAAACCCGAGGATGTGACGTGGGGAGCTTGGAACAAGCGACAATCCCGACAGATACGAAAGGCACTCGATCATATCGCCCAGTGTCAGACGGCGACAACATTGTCAATCTTGCGGCGACTTTGTTGAAACCGCCCAACCTCGAGGCCTTCCTGTACCTGCACATCACCAACCGCGACGAGTCCGCGGAGCCGCTGACGGTGCCGTTCGAGATCGTCGAGGCTTCCCTACACCCCGACTCCGATCATGCACCCCTACCAGCTGACACCGACGCTGCTCTTCTTGTGCATGAGACCGATCTGCATAATCAGCATTTGGCAGACATTTTTCGTGATGATTTCGGCATGGAATTACATACTCCCGAACCCGCTGCCTCTAAAGCTCGAAAGCGGAACTTCGAAGGGCATCTCAAGCCCACTACTTCGATTACCATCGATTTGGACTAGCCAATTCGTAGCCATGGCACGTACCCGAGCCGACTCATGGTTCGATTTTCTCTGCGAGGGCACGTTGGTGAAGATGACGGCCCCTGTTCCAGAGTCGATGCTTAACGAGTACCCCGAAGTAGTCAGCGACACGGCCCAAGTCCCCATCTCCGAGATACGACGACAGCTTTGTCCCCGCCTTCTCGAGAAGAAGAACTGTAACATGGCCAATTGTGGTTTTCTTCACCCCGATTTCCTCAACAAACAGTGGGTAGTGCCCAACCTCATATGCCACAAATGGTTCCAGGGATGCTGCGAGTACCACAATACGTGCTGGAATCAACATGGCCACACGTTCGACGAAGCTATGCGACAGGCTTTCGTAGTACAGCGACAGAATCGTCGAGGTGAACCACCTTACCATTACTCGTCGAAGAACGGAATCATCGAGCAGGTCAACCGAGCACAGGCTCGTGAGTGGATCATGGACTCGATGACCACTTTCCGTTCCGCCGAGATGCGCAAGTTCAACTTTGGCACAAACTTCCTTCGGTACTACGACTACGAATCGTGGGATAAATCCGATGTTGCCCAACAACTACGACAAGAAATCGCGGATGGCCTGCATCGTCGAGGACGCTCTCCCCGTAGAGTTCGCGAGGAATCGAGACCTCCGGCGACCTGGGGACAACACCCCACTCCGACACGGGGAGCGATTTTCCCGACTTCGAGACCCCGATGGCCCCCTTCAGCGGCTCCCTCGTCAGCCCCTTCTACAGCAGCCCCATCGACAGCACCTCCGGCAGCGTTCCCATCGGCGGCACCTTCGACTACGCCGACTCCGCCGACACCAAGGAGAACTTTCTTCCAGGTCAGCACGGATACGGACTCCGATGCACCCAGCTTCGGCCGTGAACCCCGAACTGCTTTCCGCCACGGCGATGGAGCAGCCAGGGGATCACAACGACCGCTTTCTCCGGCGAGATTCCCGAAGAGATCCCCGTCACCGGCGAAGAGATGGCTCGACTCTAAGACCCCGGTGATCGTCGAAATCCCGGATGAGATCGCCGCTTCGACACCAGCCACGACTCCGGCGGCCCCACCGACTACCACGACACCGCAGACGAGGCCGAGGTCGCCAGATCCTTGGCACGAGGACGATGATTCCGCGACACCACCACCGACTCCTCCGACCGTGGTTACTACAGCCAACCCTGCGACATCGATGAACCCAAGGAGCTCTGGGCCGGTGGCCAATTCCGCGAGTGAATCCGAGTGGATCAACCCATCCTTTGGGGCTGCCGCTACTACGACTCTCGTGAGCACTAAGACCAAGGCCATGCCCAAACGACCACACCCCGACGCCGACAGCTCCGCGGGGTTTGGAAAGGTCGTGCCTCCGAGATTCTCCGTCCACCCTGCTGTGGACTTGACACGAAATGACCCGAGGCAAGTCTTACGGCCAGATACCAACGAGTCGGGGGCGGCCTCTTCCTCGACTATCACGACCTCCTTGGGGAATCCTTACACGAGTGTACCGGTCGCGGTTCAGCCACAACCACCACGACAGTCATGCCTCGAGAGATTCCGAGTGCAGTGGCGCGACTCGCAGGTGGTGGAGAAGGGGCGCACTTCGATCGACGATGTCCGATCCAATGCACCGTCATCACACGAGCCAGTGTTTGGCTTTCAAACACTGCGCCACTTCGACAACTTCCCGATGATGTCGGCGAATTTGCAAGCGATGACGCCGGTGGGTGGCCACAATGTCGCGATGTTGCCACCTGGCAATCACCCCTACTCCTCCTTCGCCTTCGACACTCCATGGGAGATCACATACGATGGCATCATCTACATCGAACAGGTACTCCGATGCCCTACTTTCGGGAGCTACCTCACCCAATACGGCCTTTACATCGACCTCCCGATCCACACCCCGCAAGACGACGTACTGCAGGAACGGGTGTTGCTCCTGGGTGTCCCGAATAACTTCGTGGAACCCCGGACTACCTTGATCTACTCGATGGTGTGGCACAGCATCACCGCCTCTCTCTCCGACCTGAACCATACTTCGGTGGAAGATCGGATGAACCGACTCCGAATTTGGTGCCACACGGCGAGGAATCTCAACACCTTCGCGGCGCAGATGCCATACTTCGAGCCCATGCAGACCTTCTTTCGGGAGCAGGCCTCGGCGATCCTTTCATGCACTTCGAATATGCTCTCACCGGCGATGCGAAGTGCCTTCGCCCAACACGAGCGAATGCGATCGATGATCGCCGCGGAGCCGCCGGCTTTCATCCTGCGATTCCGCGAGAATGCGTGAGCCTTTACACGAGGCCTACCCGACCTTTAGGTCTCACGGTCGCCCCGTTTCCGCCTCGGCGATGTACGGGTGTTTCCGGGTCAGTGACCGTTTCGGTAGAAGGGGACTTCCGCCTCGGCGATGCGTCCACCTGACCCGTAGGTCTCAACCCCCCGAATGACTCGTTACATACGACGACAAGACCAAATGTGCTTGCCTGTAGGACATGTTACTCGGTTGCATCAGGCTCTACTAGTTGTAGTGGGGCCTGCTCTCTCCTTGGAGATTGCTTGGCTTCCGTAGACTTCGACCTCTCAAGCTCGACTCGTGTTACCCGAACCTCCCGATCCACCCGAAGTGATGGCACACTCTCGCCAGTCCCCGATTGAGTCGGATCCGATTGAACAGTTCCCCGAGACATCGGCGACTCAGCTCGATCCCATCGAGCAGTTTTCCCAAATGCCCGGCAGCAGCTCCGGAGCAGTTTTGCCGGCCGCTCGATACCTCGAGGGAGTCCACCCGGACACCGACGAGGGCCGAGCACTGAAATTACAACGAAGGCTCTACGATGACCATCACACCCAGGGAGCCTTGGAGGTCATCGCTTTCAGACGAGCCTCCGAACAGCTCGCGATGTCATCACTACGAAAGCAGTTCCCGAACTCGACAGACTCCGAGCTGGCGGCGATTTGGCGCCGACAACTTACCGGCGAGGAGGTCGACGAGAACGGCATGCCCATCGAGCTCATTGGTCGCGATGGGACATCGATCGAAGATCACCACAAACGCGATGTCGACCGAGTCGAGATGTACCTCAAGTACTTCAGCACTCCGGCCAACGACAAGCTCCACGATGGATCCATCGATTGCACCTTTTGTGGTCTGCTGTTTCCGCCTTACTATCTCCTCTCGGTTAACCCCGACGGCCAGGACGACTGGCGCAACATCCACTACAGGTGTTGCTACCAGTGCGCA